GTCGATGAGTGGTCAGATGGTTAGTGCCCGAGAGCGAGGGGTCCGGGGCGGAGCACAAACATAGGACGCCCAGCCTTGCCCTCGTGCCGCCGAGTGCGTATCCTATGCGAGAGAGATCCCCTGTGCCCTGTGCCCAGCCCTCTCCGCGCGGCGATGCGCCCTCCCCCCTCGCTTTTGCAAAATCCTGCAAAGGTGGGGACGTGTCTGTCCTCGACCCAGCCCTAGCTTGGGATGTCCGTTGTATTTATTTATTTATACTGAGCAACGATATGACTTGGCGGCAAATGATCGCAGTGGGCGTCAGAAGAGTCATCCTTGCGCGAGGAGAGCTCGATAAACTCGAGGGGCCAGGATATGCCGCGAGGAGGGCAGAGTTACGCCGAGAGGCGAGAGCAAGGGATCGGCAGGCAGCGGCGTCGTCGCAGAACGAGGCAGAGGGGAGCGAAGCGACAGAGGAAGAAGCGACAAGAGAAAGAACGACGAGAGTGGGAAGACCGCGAGGTGGTATGAAAGTTGCAGCGCTCGAAAAAGTCTTTTTCTGAAAATTCCAGCGCGCGTGGAAGAGGGAAAAACCCGACGGGAGGGCCAACACCTCCCCTACCTACGCCGCTTTCCTCCCGCTGTGATCCCAGTGTCCACTATGGAGCTCGCGGAGTTCTTCGTCGCCTACCTGCAGCCATACCTCCCCACGCCCGTCGTCCGAGTGCTTGTCCGCTGGTACCTCTACCTCTTCGTCGGCTGGCGGATGCGCTCCGGCAACGTGGTCGTCCGGCAGATCAAACTCGACCGCCAGGAGCGCACTCGCGCACCCGTCACGACGGAGGTCGAGGTGACCAACGAGCAGCTGTACGCCAACGACCCCGCCTTCTTTGTCGCGCACCTCGGGCCGCGGCTCAAGTACTCGGCTTGTGAGTGGCCCGTCAACTGCGGAGCGAGCACGAGCGACCCTCCGAGCTGCGCGGCGGCGCTCGCGGACGCAGAGGCGCTCACACTCGCAACGTACCAGGAGCGGCTTGGCCTCGCCTCGCTGCCGGCCGGCTCGCGCGTCCTCGAGTGTGGCTGCGGCTGGGGCTCGCTCACGCTGACGAACGCGGCGCGCTTCCCAAAGCTGCATTTTGTCGCCTTTTCCAACTCGCCGCAGCAGATCGAGTACGTGGCCAAGACGGCGGCGGAGCGCGGACTGGCCAACGTGAGCGTGCACGTCGAGGACTACGCCCTCTTTGTCGACCCGGCCACCTCCAAGGCGACACCCCCATCGCCCTCCCGCCGCCAGCATCCCCGCCGCCAGCCACACTCTTCATCCCTCATCCACAATCAACAGAGCTGACCGCCAAACCATCGGCGGCCGCGCCTTACCCTCCGCCACCAGCGCCCCCCGCCTCCCGCACGCGAGGTGGCGCCCGCCGGCTGCGCTCCCTTCGACGCCGCGGTCGCAATCGAGACCGTCGAGCACGCGCAAAACATCAAGGCGCGCCGCCACCGCCAACTGTCTCGGCGGACCTCACCTTCCTTTCGCTTCTCCACCTTCACATCAGCTCATCTCGGCGCGTCTCGCGCCCCAAGGAGCTGCTGGCGGCCGTCGCGGCGCGGCTGCGGCCGGGCGGTCGCTTCTTCGTGCACTCGCTGCTGCACCAGTCCGCATCATACCTCGTCGACGCCGACTCGTGGATGGGGAGGAACTTCTTCACCGGCGGCTCGATCATCTCTCTCAACTCGTCCGTCCTCTGCCCGCTCCCCCCGCCCCCTGTTGAGAGGGAGGTGCTCTCCTGTGAAGCGCGGGAGGTTGCCTATGATCCAGATTACTCTCTTGCAGTCCGCTACGCACCGCTCCCTCATTTCCGTCTGGCCCTCGCCGTTTGCCCACCCGGTCCTTAGCTCCGTTCCGAGGTATTTGCATCTCTCGTCTCCCTTCAGCTGTGGTATCAGCATGCCGGGGAGTGCAGTTGGCAGCCTCAGAAAAAAGCGTTAATTTTTTGGGTGGTGAGCTGGAGGTGGCGGCGGTGACAAGGCCAGCGCGCGTTCGAACTGGCAGAACCCTCGACCAGTTTCCACGTCACAATGATGCGGCTCGTCTTGCTGGCCAGGATCCTCCTCCTTCTCTGCCTCGCCGCGTCTCGGACTGCGGCGGCCAAGGCCAAGGGGAAGAAGTCCGACGCCGCGGACGAGCTTTTGTACCTCACCGACAGCACACTCGAAGTAGCACTCGAGGCGCACCCTCTGCTCCTCATCTCGGTTTCGGTGCCGGGGTGCGG